ATGTGTGTTCTTTGTGGTGTTTTATCTGCTGCTTGAGTGAGAAACAAATGTGACAAAACGAAAACAAATGTGATGTGTTTACACTTCTTTAATCAGAATATTACCTTGGCAGAACACTCATAGTTGGTTTTTCAACACCTTCGCAAACAAAGTATGTACGGGAGCTTCGCAGTTCCCCCGTGCGTTGGTGCATTGCGAAAGTTCGCCATATCTTTTTCATCAATTGCTCAACGCTAGACTATAAAATACCAGTTGTCTGAGTATGGCACAGTGGCGAACCTGCTGAAATGCTCTGATCAACTATACTCGTTCTGTTGGTTACGGTGTTTTTTCGAAGTGCTCTGAGTTGCATCGCCAGAAACGATCACAACTTTTTTCGGAAACAACATTGCACGACGTCATGACAAGAAGATGAGCTGGTACAGAGAAGTCATAAAAGCGCTTTCCAGGGAACTGCATGGGCCCGCGACAATTGGATCACGAATAGCAAATGGAATGAAGAACGTGATTTTATGATGCATAACTGGAAACTGACACAACTGAGAACCCCTCTCACCAAACCAATACCGTACGGGAGTCTTCATATCTTCTTTAAAACTACATAGTTTGATACACTCCAGCCCGTTGGATCTGTTGAGTTGAGGAACAAGTCTTGCAGTTTAACCGCGTTCTCCAACAGCGAATGGTATAGTCCGTTTGCCGGGCCTATTGAGCTGCCTCTTTGCACAAGAAGGTAAATCATAACGTTGAAATATTAAGTTTGAACACCTTTAGCGTATTATTCACTGTGTCCGCTTCATTCCACGATAAAATGTTTGGAGGAGTACATACGGAATGTCTGTAGTAGAGACATTTTTGAGGAACACAACGTGGCATTATAACAAGGATTTGCTGGCAACTCGCCTAGAAATCGACAATCGATTACTGGAATATTCACGAACTGTCGACAGGCGGCGAACACTTGCGATGTCCCGTGTCCAAGAAATCAGGAAGGGCTGGTTCGAGTCTAATTCCAAGTTACCTCTCTGAAGTTTTAGTACAGAGCACTGCAACAAATAAAAGTTTTCAAACTGTGAAAATCTCAGCTCTATCGCAACATTGTCATTCCACAAGTGGACCTTGGTCCTCCACTGTTCCTTCCTGAATAAAACATGTGATCACATATTGCTGTGCTGCTTGAACTCCACTGTATATAAAAATGTCTTGATGCCATGACTTAAAGGCAGTTGGCACGATAAATCCCCAAGGCGACTAGGATCAATACTCCTGGCAGGATAGAATTCCGCGACCCTGGGCAGGCGCTGCATAGCGGTTTCCCCGAGGAAGGTGCCCTTATAAGGGCCCTATCAAGCCACAACTTTACGTCCCAAACGCCCGCGCCCGCCCGCCCACAAATGGACGACCGTTCCTGACGCTCGTATTCATTCATTTGCTAAGCAAATTATGAAGCGAAGGGATTGGTATGAAGCGGCCGTGATGCTGCATGCATACATGGGTACACATATGCAGCCGTATCTTCGGTAGCGGTGATTGGTAAGATGCCTACGGGAAACTCGTCCGAAATCGATTTACAAGTCACTGAGAACGGAGGCTTTTTCTTCGCAGGATTTTGACCGTTTCACTCCGTTCTTTCGCCATTTCCCCACTATACAGCGCCCTACTAGCATTTTAGGCTAAGTAGGAAACCATCGTGCCAACTGCCTTTCAAAGTCTTGATGCCATGGCTTAAACAAGCAAGGAGCTACAAAATTCTGTGATCTAGTGGCTACTAATCCGGTAAGCGTGTAGTTCGTTCAAAATTGATCCTCGTCAAGATCAGGTTTTTTGTCGTAATTAAGCATTCACGTTATAAACTGTGGAGCGTGAACTGCAGCGAATAGGGCGGTTGTCACATCAGTGCCTCACGAAACTTTGGATGTAAGGCTCGGACGGGATTGTAGGATATCTTCCACCCAAGTCTTGGATATGACAGAAATACAAAAAATACTTAGTAATTGGATGCACGGTTGAAAATAATCCAAATTCTGGGGGATGATCTCGTGCGAATTCCGTCAAGGTCGCAGTAAAGGTCTGATGCCTCATTGTTAGCTGGAATAAGGATTAACCGCCGACCACTTGCAAGGGCATGTATGTATGAAGATAGACCAAGGTGTTCTGACAAAGACCATTGGAACTATGGTCGAACAGCTGCCAATTCGAGTGAGTGCTATTCCTATGTGGTTCAATCTAATCTCCACAGACAAGCCACGTGCGAAAGCGTTTCCGTCCCAGCTCTTTGTATACCTTCTTGTAGCATTGTCCCACTTATAAGTGCTATGCATTTCATGACGCACGCACACACATACTCACGCACATTTTTGGCGAACTATATTCAGCTAGAAATACACTGGTGTGCAAAACTTAGGGACGAGATGGATAAAGTAACATAAAACACTAATGACTGGGTGGAAGTAAATGAAAGTGTGGGAGCATGTTGC